TTCGCGAACAGCTCGTGTTCGGCTCGTTCGTTAAGAAACGAACACGAACAGTGACTTCACGAACAATTTCAAACACAAGCTTATTTTAAACAAACTAAATTTCAAACGAATCGAACACGAACACAAGCTCTGTTCGTTCGTGTTCGATTGTTTACACCCCTAGTGGTTTCTATTGATTTTATTTGTTCATTTTCTTTATTTAAGTTTATTTAAGTTAATTTATTAATTTAATTGAGTAATAATTAATACTTAGTTAAAATATTATCAGATTAATTATAGTTAAATAAATTTATATATTATTTTATTATTAATTAATAAAAAAATTAATATATTTACTTTATTTATTCAATAAATTTAAAAGTAATTATCAATAATTAAAATTAATAATAATTAATAATTCTTTTATACATATTAAATTTCAATTTAGTAATTTATTTAATAAATATTTTTTAATAATTAATTAGTTTAGTAAATATATAATTATTAATTATCATGTTTTGAAATAAAATATTAATTGAATTTAAAATTTTAATTTAATAATTTTGGAATATTTTAAAAAGTCGGATTTACATGATTTACTAATTCTTATTATGATTGTAAAACAATTTCTTATGATTTAACAAAATTTATTAAACTTATTACCAAATAATTTTTTAGGATTTAATTTTATGAGGATTTACTAAATTCATATTTACAGCATTTACTAAATCCTATCAAGTCCCCAAGGGTTTCGGGCACCAGTTAGGCCAAGGGAAAGGAAAGCATTAACCAAAGGACACTTCAAATGTATAGCACAAAATTCTTACGCATTGACACATTTAATACCTAAAATAACATTTATAATATTTTGGTAGTAAAAACTAATTCATGAAATGGTGTATCTGTTGTGAGAATAGTACTTCCTGACATAGAAATGAGACGAAAAAGAACACAAGCAAACACAGATCGTTTACGTGGTTCGATCCAACTGGATCTACGTCCATGGGAGGGAATCAATCAAATAGTTCACTAAGGCAAAAGAAATGGAGAATACATAGCTTATACATAGAGATGAGCCCTCATCTTCCTTCTACGACCTCCCTCTCAAGCGACACCTTGATACAAGGCCTCAAGATGCTCTCCTCCTCT